ATTTTAGTTTTGTCTTGAAATTTGGTTACTTAAATGTTTAAACTTCTTCTAAAATTTCTGCAGTAACATTTAGCCGTATGGACCCTGAGGGGAAACTTATAATGGGGTTTAGAAAGGCAACAAATTCTACTGCAGTACAGGTAACAGTCACTTTTAGTTCAAATAGCAAAATCAAACTTTTATAATTGATATTTAATCGCCTATTAAGCAGGAAACACTACCATCTAATATGCCCAATGGTTCTCATTCAAGTGAAACTTCCTATTCTGGTGTTTATGAGAATCTACCTATATTAAGTGGTTACTCTGGCCTTCTTCAGTCACAAAAGGGATGTTCAGAATCCCACCTAAATGCTCTGTCTAAAAAATGGAACTCAGCCGGTGGTGACATGAATTGGCATAGCATTGACATGCCCGAAAGCAGGAAAAGAGAGGGGTTGCCTTTGCCACCTGTGCTGGTTCCTGAGAAGAAAAGAACTCGGAATATTGGGTCAAAAAGTAAGAGGTTGGTTATTGATAGCCAGGATGCGCTGGAGCTGAAACTTACTTGGGAAGAAGCTCAGGATTTGCTTCGTCCACCTCCAACTGTAAAGCCAAGCATTGTCATGATTGAAGATCATGTATTTGAAGAATATGAAGTAAGTAAACAATTTAGACGAAGCTGTAATTTATGAAATTCACCCATTCTATTAGTTTGTGGGAGTGTGAAGTTAAATCGGTCTGTTTAACTCAGACCAACTTTGACCCAAATAAATATGTACGAGTCTTTCATTCTAATTTCTTAATACATTCATCTTATCCTAGACTACTTTTGTCTAGGTGAGGCGAGTTTAAATCTAAAGAAGAAAAAAGACTTCTAAAAGCTTGAAACTTTTCAGATATGGTTAGTTCAGCATACATCCAACCTCTCCTGATATTTGCAATTTCCAGAAATTTGTTGAAACTGCCATCTGGTTTGCACTTATTAAAATACCCTTCTAGTTTCAGGTTATATATAGTCTTTATTGTATTAGGGCATGTTTTCTATAGGAAAAAGAACTAGTAAATGGGTAGGGGATGGCATATAATTTTGGGTGCAAAAAGGGATGAACGCATGGGTTTCTCAAACTTAGGTTAGGTGAGTTATGTAATTAATATTTTCTGAAGGGTCTTGCTAGTGTGTGTTAAGGACACTAAACATTTAATACACTTTATTAAATGCTTTCAACTACTTAAAATAGTAAATATAAAATATTTTTGTATTTTTAATATAATAAATATTTTTCTTTTCATCAGATATTTTATTGTTTTTGTTTCCTAAGGGTACTCTTTAGCATTCTCCTTTATAAAAAAATGGACTTTGCTTGCATCAGTCATGCCAAGAAACTAACCAATAGTGTCTCAGAGATTCACAAATGTCTTAATACAAAATCTTTTTAAGTCTCTGCTTAAAGACCATGTTTGGAAAAGATTAATTCCCACAATTTCAGCTGTTCTTTAGGAAGAAAAAAAAAGTTTTTTGGAACAATAGCTGAAATCTGGAAACAGTTTTTTTTTTTTTTTTAATGAAAAATAAGTTATTTTCATGAATCTGAAAATTTAAAGTTTATGAATATTTTCCAATAGTTTTTTTTTTTCTCCTAAAGTTGAGTTAGTAAAAGCTGTTGTTTTTGTTATATATCCAAACGAAATTAATTATCTCAAAATTGCTTTTCAATAAATTTACTCAAACAAAAATTCATTTTGATTATAATTGATTATTGAAATATGTTTTTCAGAACTTTCCTGGACACTAAATTTTATTAGATAACCAGCTATAGATCTTGCTTAGGAATTTAATTATTTCAATTCATGCAGGAACCTCCTGTTTTTGGAAAGAGGAGTATCTTTGTAGTTCGATCAACTGGGTAAGATGAATCTGTGCATTAGTTTTTTCTTTTTATTGCATGTGCCAGGGTATTCCCCTCTTACCATCCCTCCTATTTCTTTATTTTCTATTGAACTTTATGATTTCTTTTACAAGTTATACCAATGCATAAACTTATATATTTGATTGAGTATTTCAATTTGGAGTGTGATTGGACTTCAGGATAAACGAGCAGTGGGTGCAGTGTGATAGTTGCTCAAAATGGCGGAAGCTGCCAATTGATGTACTTATTCCCCCAAAATGGACATGTGTGGAGAATTTATGGGATCAGAGCAGGTGAACAGAAGACTTTCTAGTGCAATGCTAATAATACTATACTTAATCTTAGTTAAGAACTTTATGCGCATTGCTGTCAACAGGTGTTCATGTGCTGCTCCTAATGAATTGAACCCAAGGGAACTGGATAATCTTCTGAGGCTGAATAAAGGTATTTCTCCATTATTTGTGTTTATTAGGCTTTCAATTTACCACTGTTCAATACATACTAGTAGAGAATGGTTTCATGTGCAAAATTTTACGTCATTATGAAATTATTATTTTCTGGCAGTATTTTCCTATTGGTATTTAGTATTTACTATTTACTAATTGTACTTAAATATGGCTGAATTCCCATTTCGCAGGCATATTACCAAGACTTTCTTTTGATCCACAAACTTGTATTTGTGTCTAAATATAGATGAATTACTTTTTTAAAATTTGTTTTGTATAGTATATATTGGTAAATAGATTTTGTTAGGGATATTTGTCTGTCTAAAAAAAAAAAAAAAGTTAACCACACACACACAACACATGGAGAGAGAGCTGAGAAAACATAAAAGCTTTAGTATCTATCTTGTTTACATTTTAGTCTAGTTCTATTCCAAACTCGTCAACTGCTTACTTATTGTCTTAATTTGACACCAAATAAAGAAATTCCAATGACCATAACCAATGCATACTCGGTTATTGGAGGCACGGGGATATCTGCTAGTGTTTGAATGCCTGAGTATTAATGCAATATTATGTCAGTATAATCATATTAAAGTTATCTGGAAAGGGACTTTAGATTGAGAGTATAAAACAATTGAGCAATGAGCATACAAGACTTGAGATATTTGAAGATGCCCACAATTTGTACTGCAATTAAAAATAACTTAAAATTAAAACATGGACTGGATGGTTAAAAATATTGAAGTATTGAATTCTTATATGCATTTTAAAGTTCTATTTTTCAGTTTTTGATATACCAATCCTAAGCATACTAAGGATTATACATAAGGACTTTAAAATTCACGTGCTATCTTTTTAAACATTCTTAACTGGCCGTGAGCCTCCACTTGAAAAAAACGACTTTTATGTGCCAGTAAAATAACAAAATTGAGCTGGATAATATTAATGATTAGTTGTATCATTGTATGAAGTGGCTACCAGTGTTGCTTGTATTAACCAGTTTTGTATGGCTACATTGTCTTTATGCTTACTTTTTAGTCAAATTATCTTTGCTCAACAAACTGACAAATATCTAATCCCTAATTGTGCTTCATGAACAAGGATGATGATTCTGTGACTATTATGAATGCATGGTTACATGTTTTTCCTGTCAAAAAATTCTTGATGGTATCAAATATAATTCTTTATTTTGAAACAGAATTCAAGAAACAAAGACTGGCAGCAAGCCAGAGACCAGCCCTGGAACATGCATCTTCAGGACTAGATGCTTTGGCAAATGCAGCTATACTTGGGGATGATGCAAATGACTCTGGCAGGACACCAGTTGTTACCACTACAAAACATCCTCGGCATAGACCCGGGTGCTCCTGCATTGTCTGTATCCAGCCACCAAGTGGGAAGGGCAAACACAAACCTACATGCACGTGCAATGTGTGCATGACAGTTAAACGGCGATTCAAAACCCTGATGATGCGAAAGAAGAAGCGCCAATCTGAACGTGAAGCTGAGATTGCTCAGAGAAACCAGTTATCATGGAGGACCAAGGATGAATCAGAAGTAGACAGCACCTCTCGGCAATTAACACCGGTTGATGGTGTGGAGAATGAAGTAAAGGTGCCAAATGAGCTGGATTCAAGGAGCCAAGACCATGTGACTGAAGCTACCAAGGGACAACTAGACTTGAATTGCCAACCTGATCGAGAAGACATGCAAGCTGCGCCAAACAGCATGAGCATGACGAGTCTTCTTGAAGAAGCAAATCTCCCGCTGGAGACCTACCTGAAGCAAAATGGGCTCACTAGCTTGATATCAGAGCAACAAACAAATTCAGCTTCAAATGTGCAGCAGGCACACACAACCAATGAGAGTGAGGGAAGACGTAATGAGGATTGCTGCACTGCTTCTGTTATTCATGAGCAGGAAAGCAGTCCTGAAGAGAACAGTGGGCAAGATAAGGACCAAAACAATTCACTCTCATGAAACTACCCAATTACATTTTTCCCTCTTTTTTACTCCGAAATCATTTTACAAAAATCCTTCTTGCATAAGTTATAAAATTATAGGAGGTTCATTTGTATGTCTATATTGGTTTTTGCTTTGTCTTTCTGTCCTATGGTTGTCACGTGAGATTTCACCCCAAACTCAATAACCTATATACGCCAAAGCTTGTGTTTTAGGGTTGTAAACTAGTGAGGCAAGGAGTTGAAGGAAGGCACCTCCGTGCTGTATACACCTGGTTTTGTTTCTTTGGTATGTGTGCCAAGTCTGAATAAACATTGTTTGTCTTCTTTTTAATGTTATGTAAGAAGGACGAGGACACATTTTCGATTTTTAGTGTGTAGTCTGAATAGCCATTATTGGGCTTGCGTTTTTAATAGGAAAATGCTCCTTTGCAAGAAAAGCATTTCACCGATATTGTACAGAACTATTGTGATTGGTGTATGTAATAGTTATGTGATTACTTTCAAAGCTACTTTTTATCATATATTTTATTGTTGTGCTTGTGGCACGTTACATACCTTGCGTTACGTTATGCGCCAATCAAAAGACGTTATATTGCAGTGAGTGACACTATTTTCAATTTTATTTCCTATATACCAAGAACATGTAAAATGAAATAATATACTAAAATTAATTTAAGAACCTCAAAAGAAAGATGTAAGATAATAATCAAATCATATATTATAAATTGTTAATAGTACTAAAATGTAAACTAAAAATAATAATTTAACGACTGTTATAGTTTAATTATTATTGTAAAGAGGTCGAATTCATGTTCAAGATGGGTATTATGGGGGAAAATGCAACCTCATCCCTGAATCCAATCAAATCAAAAAATTCCGTCAAAATTGGTAACTACTTGGACCCATTATAACCAACCTTTGCACTATCTACAAAAGAATATCTCAGCATCATGAAGAGAAATGGCAAGGTGGAAGAATTTATCTCCTATAAACTTGTGTTGAATCACCCCAAAAATGATAATTACAACAAATAAAAAATGAAAATTATAAACAGTCAATATCCTTCAACGCTAGCTCCCCTACACACTGAGGATGATGAGTTCCTGCTTTCTGGCCTACCAAGCTCCTCCACAGACAGGGCGGAGGAACAAGAGTGAAGAGGAAGATGCAGCGCAGGCATAGCAGGCCATCTTGGAGATGAAACAGATGGCATGGCTATTGGTGGAGAGGAAGTAAACCTAGGTGCACGACATATGATACCATTAAGACTTGGTGATCTTGAAATTTGTTTTGAAGACATAGCTGCAGGTTCTTGCAGTGGAAACCAACAAGAGTACTTCATATCTTGTACCATTTTGAGATGCTCAACAATGGTTCTCATGGTGGGTCTTTCTGATGGCTCCTTTTGGAGGCATCTCTGTGCAATGTCAGCTACTGTTCTTGCTGCTTTGGGAGGAAAACGGCCTTTAAATTGAGGATCCATTATCAGTGACAGTCGAAAATCATCAGCAAGGAAAGGCCGACTCCACTTGACCAAGTTCCTCTCTTCCTTGGGGTGATGGCTTTCAAGATTCTTCCTGCCAGTAAGTAGCTCCAATAGAACAATTCCAAAACACCATACATTGCTTTTTGGAGTAAGAATTCCTCTTTCAAATGTCTCCACTGACAGGTTTCCAATAGCCTGTACAATAATAAATTCATGAACAGAATGAATGAGAACAAAACTTATAGAATACTTATACATGCCAAATAAGATTCAAAGATAGAAATAGATGAATAATTTACAATAACATATAGTGCACTTTTGAGTAAATGAGCTTACAGATGAACCGGTTGAAATCTCTTCCTCAGGAATACGTCCAACACAACCATATCCAGAAAGCTTTGCACTGAAATCTTTGTCAATCTGTATGTTGGCTGTTGAAAATTCTTTATACATTGCCTACAATTATTTGATAGAGGTCCATCAGCAAAGAGAGAAAAGTACAATCTAAATTAATATTTAATGTACTAAAGGAACATAGAAAAATATCCACTAATCATATAATTGTAAATTGTTATGTCCATATTAAGAAATAGGAATACACAATAACTCATCCAATGGCACTCACTCAATGAGGTCTATTAACCACATGGAAAGAAGAAGAAAGTGCAGGCTGCTTCAGTTTTGAATATTCGACATTTCACACCAAATTATGCTAAAAACAGAAAGTTCATTACCTGGAAAGGCCCTTCTTCATGCAGGAAAGCAAGACCTTGTGCAGCACATATGGCAATTTTCATTCGCGAGTTCCAATCAATTGAAGGGCCATCAGATCTCCCAAACAACATGCGGTCCAAGCTTCCATGGCGTAGCCTCTCATAAACCAACATCCTTGGTTCAGAACCATCACGTGCATGAAATCCCAGCAATTTACATAGGTTTGGATGTTGCAATGATGCAAGGGTATTAACATCATTTATAAAGTCCTTCAGTCCCTGCAAAAGAGATCACATACATATAGACCATGTCATAAACCTTTAGTCTAGGGAGAAAAATCTCATAAACCTCTAAAAGCAATGCTAACAATAATTCAACTTTCTGATTGAAACAGCAACAATGCAATTCTTAACAATTTTCAGCATTTGATTCTGAAGTGGTTTGAATTTTGAAAACATTCAAATGAGCATTGAGAAGTAACAAAGGAGAACAGCAAGAAGAACAAGGTTTACAAGCTGCTACTAAATAGCAAGATGAAACCAGTTGACAAACCTAAATTCTTTGATGCCTCTCTTAAACTCCTAGGATCTCATTCGTATATATTGGGAAATTCAATGGTTTTCAAAAGGCATAACAATCTTATGTCAAAAAGTACATGAAATGTGAATTCTTGCCATTTTAAGATAATGCATTACTTGAAACATCAAGCATTACCGAGAGGCTACCAAGAGATGAAAGCAATAATGCAGAATGGCAAAAAGTACCTGGGTTGATGAATGAAGGCGGGTGACAGTGGCTTCAAACTTCTTTGCACTTGAAGCATCGTCACCAAATGAAGCGCTATACATGGTAGAAGAAAGACATTCTGACATGCACCGATCTGAAGAGAAATTGTGGCAAGCAGAAGCAATTTCCTCAAATGGAAAGTTTCTAAGCAATCCTGTAGGCGGAAGAGGCAAAGGTCCTGAAACATATATAGGAGCAGTAGCCATCCCCAACTTAAAGCTGCCATTGGCCTTCAATGCACCACCACTACCCTGACGAGATGGAAGAGGCAAAGGTTGCGGATTAGAAGAAGATTGCTCCTTCATCAATCCAACTCGGTGTTTTGACTCTTCTTGTTCCTCATACTCAACTGAGGCCAAAGCATCCTGTTCAGCTGCATCATGAGCTGGTCGATATATACGACCACTAGTTGTGCCTGACTTAAAGCTCCCAGTAGCCTTCAATGCACTGCCACCACTACTAGATGGAAGAGGTAAAGGTTGTGGATTAGATGAATGCTGCTCCTTCATTGATACCGCTTGGTATCTAGATTCTTCGCATTCCTCAAACTCAACTGTGGTTAGAGCATCTTGTTTGGTTACATCAAGAGATGATGGAGCCGATAATGCCCGTGTTCTGTTATTGGTAACTTTGTTAATTGGGTGAATAGATTTCACTCTAGTCCTAAAACTAGGAGGTGCAGACTTCAGCAAATGAGGTTGAGGTTGAGGCAGTACTCTAGGTACATGTTCATTATGGCTGACACATTTTGAGTATATGATATGATCTGTCTTTTTCTTCTTGTATTTCAAGACAGTGAAACACCCCATCTTGTGTACAGAATTCAGCTATTGAATAGAATTGATTTTGCTGCACACAAAAAAAGGCATAAACAAAATTAGAGGGACCACAATGTCACCATAGGTTTTCCACATTAAAAACTAGCTAAAATTTGAACAAATAGATCCAAGAAGAAAGATGCATGGGAAAAAAAGAACCTTCTCTAACCCACTTCTGATTTTTTATAAAATTAGATTCTCTGGTGATCACAACATAAAAAAAACAAAAAACAAAAACAAAAACAAAACAAAAAACAAAATGAATACATACAGAACAATCTCCTATTTCCCCTCATTTTCATTTCCATTTCTCTTTTCATTCCTTGCAATACTGGTCAAATATTCACCAATGGGGTGCAAATTAAATGCAAAAGTAAAACAATAGAAATTATTAGAATTGATCGATCAAGCCCCTCACAAAGCTCCTTTCCACGCTTGTGTCCATCACATTACCAAAAGCAGAAAAATAAGTTATTTTCATTTTTCCTATGTCATTGGCCAAACTTCACTAAAAATATAAACAAAATGCTTTGTTGCTAATAATAAACCAAACACTCCATTCCTATGGAGTCATAAGCTCCATACACCCGATTTTTCTCAGAAAATAACAAGACACCCAGAAATGCTCATCCATTCAACTAAATGAAAAGCAATCCAGATCCCTCAAAAATGAAATAAATTTTACAAAAACTACTAAATTTATTTTCTCAGAACTCAAATCGTTTTTCCATACCCTGAAGCTTCAATCCCACTAGGAATTACCGAATTACAAACCCCCCAATAAAAAAAGGCAAAATTTTTGTTATTCAATTTAAAAAAAAAAAACAATAAAGTAGAGCCACTGATTAATCATATTACAATCAAAGCAAGGTTTTTAAGATTTGTATAAAGGAAAAAACAAACCTACCAGGCTACCGCTGAACTCTGAAACACAAAAAGGGTTAAAATGATATTGAATATAATAAAGGCAAAGGAAGGAACTTGAACAGACCTATGAGATAGGAGGTCATGCAACACAGAGTGAAGCTAAAATGGGTATAACATGTGGTTATGCTTCAACCACGAACAAGGGCTTATGAATGAAGTCAAAGAAAGCGAGCAGAGTGGTGGGAAGTGATGTTTCTTTGAAAATGAGGAGTATGTGTGGAAATTTGGAATGGTGGTAAAAAGAGAATCGGTCTCAAACGGGTTGGAAAATCAATGAGCACTGGTCAAACTGAACTGATTTAATCTTCGTTTTTTTTTTTTAATTTTTTTAAGGATTTTTTTTTTTACCAATTTTAAGGAAATAATATATTCCTTATTAGTAATCACTCTTAACTTATATATAAGTAAAAATGTTCAAATTTTTATGGTAAAATATAAACAAATTTTATTGAAGTAAATTTTATTTAATGTTCATAATTCAAAAATACTCCTATAATAAATGGGAGTATTATTTAATGTTCATAATTCAAAAATACTCCTATAATAAATGGGAGTATTATCTATCATTAATATGATTAAGAATATTTTAAGAAATAAGAGAAATTCACTTATTCTGAAAGTAACTTTCGATAAATTTATTTTGTTTAATAATTTATATTTTATATTAAATTTTAACGATCCAACTATTAATTAAAAATTATTAATGCATAGATTAAGTTTATAGATTTTTAAAAAATTTAAAAATTAATTGATACTTCATTCATTAATTCAAATCAACGTATAAAATATTTTTATAAATATTCTTTAATTTGAATTAATGAAATATAGTATCAAATGATTTTTAAGTTTTTCTAAATTTTGTAAACTTAATTTATACATTTAAGAACTTTTAATTATTTCAATGATTGAATAGTCAAAATTTGATATAAAATATGAGTTATTAAATAAAGTAAGTTTAAGTAAATTTATTTTTAGAGTGAACGAATCTCTCTTCTTAAAAAGTGTTATATATATTTTATGTGAAATTGTAAAAATTAAATATATTTAATGAATTATATTTTTTATATCTTATAAACTTTCTGTGTAAAATTATATATAAGTGAAAATGCCTTATTATTGTTTTTTTAAGGTAAGACATGTGATGCATAGAAACACAAATTATCATTATAGTAAATTGTTCACTTTTATTATAAAATAAGAAAAAGTTATATGTATATATATAATTGATAGTATTCAAGTATGAAATTATTTTATACTTTCTGTATAGAATATTAAACTTTGGAAAGAAAGTGGAAACTAACGGAGTTTTTTTAGTTAATGCAAAAGATTTTACATTATGAGTCAAATAGAGATTAATTTATGTGTTTTTTACAATAGTTATTTATTAAGGATTTAATAATCATGTGCAAAAGTTTTTATATTAAAAAAATGGTTGTTTGTATATCTTTTAAAATAATTTTTTTAAGATTTCTTTTAAAATGATACATATATTTTTTTTTTAATTTTTAAATGAATATTAATTTCTTTTATTTATTTATCTAAATAACATATATAACCTCTTATATAAGATAATATTATTTGTGTATTATTAAGAAATAACAAATTATTAGTACAAGTAACAATAATTGAACGAGACTTAATATCTTATTCAATATTAAGTTTTAAATTATATCATAAATATTATGTGTTGTGATTTCAAAAATATAACTTTAAGAAACAATTTCAAATAAATAAATTTTTCAAAATTGCATAATAATGAAAATTTTCATATAAAAAACATATATATCATTTTACATAAATTAGAAACAAATGATAGACACATATATAACTAGTAGAATGTGAATTAGTTTTTATTTTTTCTCATTTTCTAACTTTAACTAATAACATTATTTTAAGAGAGGTGAGTAATTTTCCAAATTAAAGAAGAGGTGTGTATTATTTAAATAGACCATTTGGAATGTGAGTGCAATTTTCCCTTAAAATAATTATTATCAAAGTTTATTATATACAATAATTTGTTATTAACGGTCAAAAATTTACATAATTGGATATTAATCTTTTCTTTGTTACTAAATCAAAATAAGCTTATCAAATATGATGGTTTATTATTGTTTGATAGTGTAAAAAACCATTAATGAATTGATCAAATTAGACTAGTATAACTTTTATTAACTATTACATCATTTAATAACTTTATGTTAAAAGTGATTTTTATTGATTTAAACTTTTTATCATCTTAATGTTTATGTCAAATTTTGTTTAAATCAAACAACAACAAAAATATAATTAAATTACTCATATTTTAATACACTTTTAAATATATATTACATCATTTTTTTATCTGTATAAATAATGTGTCAAACAATTTTAAATTAATATAAAATTTTGTATATATAATTTAGATTAAAAGAAATTTCAATTTAACAATGAATTATAAAAAAATTATATTAATTAAAAGTTATTCATAACATAATAATTAGTATATTTTGTTAATAAAATATACATAAAACTTACCAAATAATGTATATGGGTTACACTTATTTAAGAAAATATTTGTGTTTTTTTTAATTAAATGATGGGTTAATAATGTATTATTAACATTTATTATATATTAATTATATAATTATATATATGTATATATATCCACAATTAATTTTATTTAAAGATAATTTTTCTGATAAACTAAGTTAAAAATTAAGGATTAATCTTTAGATCTAGTGAGATTTATTTAAGAGGTGATATCGCTTAACAAATATACTTTTTATTAAACATGTTATGTACTTCCTTAATTATTTAAAGTTAATTTAAAATTTATTTATATAATTATATTAGAAAATAGACGATGTACTAATAGAGTAAAATAATTTTAAATTATTATTTAATTTAATTTACTTGTTATGATAATTTGTTGAATTGTACAATAAATAAATATAATAATATTGATATTTGATTAATTGGCATGTACAATTATTTCAATTACTAATGTATCACTGATAAGCTCTAATTTATTAGATTTAATTTGTATGTATTCACATGTAAAGTTGTCAATCAATTGAAATTGATAACTTATAACAAACTTATCAGTTTAAAAATCTTTTACAATATCCATGCATATACTACATATTTTTATATTTTATTTTTTTGGTTATAATATTATTTTATAAAAAAAAAATTGTAACAGTCAATTTTGTTTTACATGACTGCTAGTCAAAGCCGTTTTTAACATTCTACGAATAGAGATGTCTTCTACCGAGGTTTGAATTTTGACTAATCCCTTTCTTCGTGGTAACCTACGTTTGAACGTGAAGAAAGACCACGGAAAAAACTTGAATTTCTTTTATATTTTTTCTTTATTCTTTGCATGTTCTTTCTCATTAATCATACTTGGAATAAAATATATTTAAGTTCTAACATATACAAATCTAGATTATGATGTTTGATTAACATTATATGGCATGTTAAGGAATTGCTATCCTAATAATTTTTGTAATTATTAAAATAATGTAAAAAAATAAAGATTTTTTAATTGATGAATAGTTAATATTAAGAGAAGATTAAGAGTCTAGTTTTAATGATTGAATATAGTACATGAATTGAAGTAAATTTTTTTTATACAAAATTTAATTTTAACAAATTAAAAAAATTAATGAAGAAATTAAATTAGTTCGATCCTATTAGTTGAACTAGTTCTTTTTTAGGTACTCAATGGCAGAAATGAAATTTGAAAAATAAAATAAAATTGGTGCAACTTGGTTTTATTTTTATACTAATGAATTTTTAAACTAAATTATCGTGCAAACTACTCAAATTTTTATCTATTAAGTCGATCATATTGTGTATTAATTGAACTATAGTAAATTAATTCTAAATTGATAAAATGGTATACTATATATCAACCAATATTTAACCATTCTATCTAGGAAAATGATTGTTTCTCCGAGAAATGTGTGCCGAATTCTTTTCGAAATATTAAAATAATAATTTAAATTATAAAATATTTAATTAAATAATTATTTTATAATAAATTTATTATAAAATATTAATATTTTAAAATTTCGGAGGATATTTCGAATAACTATTCAGACCGTGTAGCATAACTCTTCTATCTATTTTCATTACATCTATCAAATATTTATTATAACAATGTTTAATCAGTATAAATGAATGTTTTTTTTCAATTTTATTTTTATTTTTTAAGGAAAACTTATACTATAATTTATGAAAGTTTGGATTAAGTAATTAAATAAATATCAATAGAATATGGATTTATTTTAAATATATAATATATAAAAATTAAACAGGATTTTGAATGAATTACTTTTATGCAAAGTACATAATATAAAATGATTTTTAAACAGCAAATACATTAAATTAATTAGAGATATTACCATTTCTTTGAATAACACTAAAAATAGTAATACCAAAAAAAATTACATAAGAGATATGGAGGGGAGGGGGATGTTGAGCCACCATTTTTTCTTCATTTTTTTTTACACAATTCTAAGTAATTTTAAAAAGATATATTTATTTATTTATTTATTTTAAAAAAAGTTTGGCTGTTTTATTCACCATGCTCCATTTCCGAGGAAGTGCATTTGGACAACTTGATAGGGCAGTCAAAGTTTGAAATTTTAATTTATTTATTTCATTAAAAATAATAATAATAAAACATGATTCCAATGAGACCCATCAAGAAAACATGATCTTTGACTTAAAACTACGTGGCCCTAAAATACAGGTGGATCCACATAAATAATCCCATGTTGTCATATAAAATAATTTTTTTTGGCTTTTATAAAATATATTTAAAAACTTGTATCAAATGTATTTTTAATTATTTATCGGCATAAAATATTTTTATATTAATAATATATGATTATTAAATTTATTTTATTCTTCTATAAATATTAATAGAAAGATTTATAAATAAAAAACACATATAATTTCATTCATGTATACTACTACTTATTTTTATATAATATATGTAACAACATTTATTATCACAAATAAAAATATTAGTTTTATTTCTTATTTTTTTAAAAAAAAGTGATATTATAATTTAATATTAATTATTTATACATATTTAAATTTAAATTTAAAATACATGTAAAATTTACAAAATTCTATTAAAAAAATATCATTGTCTTCTGTATTGTGATTTGTTTCAATCAGTTGTGAGCTCAAGTCGCCAAATAGGCGTGACAGGATTTAGAATCAACCATGTGGGGCCTCGTTCGAGAA